TTGATGTCATGTGAGCTAATGTAGTGCGGCTGTTATTTAATTCACTATTTCCCAAGCTTCTTTTAGTCACAGCACATATCTTAGAAATATCCCAAACAACCAACCAAACAAAATTTCAATTTACTCACATTTACCTACTCAGTGTAAGACCATGGCCTGTTTAGTTGAAAACATCACTTATATACTCACAGGAATTGAAGAAAACAAACAGGATGTTCTTCTTGGACAACTCTGACTCGCTCCACCTTCTTTTCTACTTTTTACCGTTATCTGCTGCCACTTAGGGGAAGTGTATTTAATTGTTCACACAGTGGTATACAGTCTATACACCAGAAGAACAAAAAACAACTTCTTTGCAGTTCTACCTCTCACTGAAAAATCATCAATGTGTGTGGGCAGCTGTGACAGACAGACATATGACACCGTACTCACCAAGGGTGTATAATTACACTCCAAAACCCTGGAACAGTAGAGTACATTCACTCAATTCACATACATTTCTTTTCACAGCTGTACACTGCTGATGCAAACCTTGAACCAACATACAGTGTTTCTGGCTACAGCTGCAGATGATGTCCTCTATCTGTCCATCTGTGCGTCCAGCTGTCTCAGTGATGCAACAGATTCCTGAATCAAACTTCTCACGCATTAGTGAGGTTGGAGCAGAGTAAGTAAGTGAGCAGAGTATGAATGTTAAGGTCAAACAGATGACCTTCTGGATCACTAACTGACAGGGTCTGGTATCAGGTTTAGGTGAAGATGGAGGGAAAAGGTGCAAGCGAATCAGAGGGTTAAAATTAGAGAAAATTATTTTACTGTGTGGAATACTGCTTTTACAGTGGGTGGAATTGCATTTGAAAGTGTGCTACTAATGTTCTACTACATTAAGGGACATAATCACACAGGTGTGAGGGGAAATTTGGGCAGAAATTGTTGTTGAAATCAGTGAACAAAACTATTTTGTTGAAATAAAATGTTATTAATTCAAGTAACACATAAATACAAAATGAAATAAAATAAAACACCATCCAGACTGTCATCAAAGAACTCCATAAAAGCTTGTCATCCATCCATCCATCCATCCATCCATCCATCCGTCCCCTAATCTTTCTAATGTATTAAATCTATCCCTGCACAGTCAGTAACTGCGGCAGCTCGTACCACACATCACAGTGACCTACCACCCCCCCCCCCCCCCCCCCCTCTCTTTCTCTCCTCTCGTCTTACCCTGTCTCCTCCCTTCACTGTGAGCGGTTGCTGTCCTGACGGAGTAGAACACAGTGGCCATCGATTCATCAAAGTGTCACAGCGCACTGCAGCAGCTCTGTACGACTGATACTAAACAACTGCCCTGGCGCGGGGAACAATAGTACCTGCGCACACGTACATGCACACACACTTAGAGCACTGCCCCAGCAAGGTCACTCCTTCTCCCTGTGCACCCATTTGGCAGCATGCGCAGCGGCGCTAGTTCACTTCAAGCAGATGCTGCCAGGGGCAAAATGAGCTGAGGTGGACAAGCCATCTCTTATCATGTATTAGAGTTAACATTGCAGTTCGAGCCGATGCAAAACATTTTCCCGAAGACATTCAGTCGTATATAGTGTATGACAATAAGCGCGTACACATCGTTGGCAGATTTGCTGAAACAGCTTACCTGGTCTGTTCCATTAGCATAATGGTTCACTTAGAGTTGCACAAATTATAAAATCATGACCTTTTACATCGCCAGTGGCCTAGCTGTGATAAAACAGCTTGGCCAGCAGTCTGTTTATAGAGTCCTTATGGTGTGTGTACGGGGTCAACAGCAGGACCGGCTCTTCTCCTATAGATTTACACTGTGGCGCTTGAGTGTAGGTCACCGGCTTCCAGCAACTAATTTAATAAAGCACCCTTGGCGAGGCTTAAGTAATTCAACCAACCTCTAACTGCGGAATCTACCAAATCAAAAATGTTTTTTCCAACAAAGTGAGCATAGAATTACGTGCCCAAATGTTCCTCTTTTTCTATAATAGTCAACTGTTTTGTTCGTGCTTTTGCACTGATGTTCCATATGAATCACTGTGACGACTTCATCTGGCAAACACCCCTGTTTTCACCACCTAATGCCAAAACTTAAGCTTGAATTTCAGTCCTTAACATGCACAAACCTATTGGATAGAACTGTTTTTTATCCACTTTAATTCTAGGGGATGAAGTGTTTCTGTCCACAGCCAGGCCGAACGCCGTTGGAGGTGTCTTTATAGCAGATTGCATGAGTCATTATCAGTTTAGGAGTTGGTCACTTGGCATAGGTGCTCTTACTTCCAAACAGGTTTTGGCTGAGGTCTGGTGCACTCTGGTAGATTCTCCCTCGGGATTTGTTTTACTTCTCCCTCGTTTAATTGTACTCATAAAGCACAGAGTGAGCATGGTTGATCACCTGTCGTATATCAACCTGTTCAGCATCTTCCATCCTGTTATTACACAAGCTGCCTTATGATATGAGACACCTTTTTATCTGTGAGGTGTTTTTACTTCAGCTGTTCACTCCCAGTGGACCTCTATAATCAAACACTTATTTTTATTATAAATATCAGGGAATATTTCAACTGTAAACTCTACTCAACACGGCCAAGCTCATTGCTGATGTACAAGTGGTTCAAGGTCCACTCTGACCCCTGTCAAGCTCAGCTGTCATGAGTCATTGATTGACATTTGTCTCATAGAAGCTCTATAATTAGACTATTATTGACTAAGATGGGTATGAGATGTGGATGTTTTACTTGGATATCAGTACTGACCTGGAAATAATAATGAGCGTGGATGCAGTCTCATGGCACCTTCCTAAAGGCTTCAATGAAAGGTCTACCTATTTTGTTGCTTTTTTACTTCATTGCTAATGTGTTGTTAAAATACATGACGAAATGTTTTTTTTTTTTTTTTTTTACCAATTATCCAGTTCTTCTTAACTCAGTTAAATATTGTGTCATCTCGTGTACATTAAATAATGGTAGAACTGCATATAAAACCAACTTATAGACCCAACCATCAGTGAGGAATATTGGCTTTTTCAACTGAGACATTTCTTTGACATCTTTGTAGATTGATCTGACTATTACTCTTCCAAACACTGAAAACATTGCTCTTTTCTCCTCTATTGGATATACATCATCAATGCCACATCACTGCAGTAGGTAGTCTGGGTTCAGTGCCATTTAGTCCCCAGATGCCAGGTTAGGTTGTATCAAACTGAGCCATCCCTAGTAATAAGACATCCACTTGGCTTCTTCCAGACAGCAGCATATGATTTCATCTCCACTCTCCGTATAAAACACTGAGCTAAGCCACAAATAACAATAGATTTATTAATATACTCTAGTAAATTCACTGCCTACCTGAATAGTGCTCCACTTATGATCGGTTGTCTACCTGTAGCATTAAAAGCCCTCAGCATCAACAAATAACTGAACTCTTAATGCAAGAGCGCAACATACCAATCCTGTAAATATATTCAGATGGCCAGGGTTCAAGTGTGCACCCATTAGCATCCTTTCCAACAGGTCAAGCACATACTGTTTGCAGCACTGGAAATGATGAGTGAGTGGCCCCTGTCATTTTTTTAACAAGACCCTCCCAGGGGAGTCGGCAGAGGCATGATAGATATGCAGTGAGTGGAGACACTCTAATCCTCCTCCTCCTGCTGATGCTGCTGCTATGCAGGTGCTGTTTTTACCTTTATGAGACTGAGGCCTTCACTCTTCTCCAACCCAAACTGAAGAGAGGTTCGGCTGATTAGCCGTTGTCATAGAGACAAGGAGATAACATTTAATTTGGATTTTTGTTTGCTGCCTTCTCATTCACTATTCACTTTTAATAGGCGATAATCAACAACCAATTATCATCCATCTTGGGATTTAAACTCAGTAAGTGCTTAAACAACTGGTTTGTTTATTAGCACCTCAGATATTTTTTTTTATTTATTTCTTATTATATTTTTAGCCATAATAGCTGCTCTTGGCCACTTTTTATTTGGATTATATTCATGTAATAATGTGGAATTTTTTTTATATTACTGGATTCTCTCACCTCACAAGTTTCTTTCATGTCTCATTCAACAGCACCACTAACTACCTCACCTCTTGTTTGCAGACCCCTCCCCTCTGCAGACTGCTTAGAGTCTATCCAACTAAATGTGTCTTTGTTTACCACAAAGTTTTAAATATTAAAAAAAAAAAAAAATTGCATGTCAAATATTTCTGCTGCATTCAGGAGAATAAAATCCAGTGAAACTGTAAAGGTTTAACCTCCACATTAATCTGTTCTGACTGGAGGATGTGTCCATGAGTGAGTTATCCGTTTCCCTAAATGCTATTTATGAAGGTATTAAATTGTTCAGCAATGGCAATAACAACAAAATCCACACCTAGACCCAGAGTGCATCAGTGCAGTCTACATTAATAAATAACTATAACCTCAAAGTCCAACATTGATTAAATCTCTGGTATGTGAAGCACACACACGAACATACACACACACACACCTCTGGATTTGTACATCCTTGTCGCTTAATCTGATGAATGGCCACACATGAAATTGAAACTCACATAAGTGGCTCTGGAGGAACAACTAATATGGCATTCACACACACACCCACACACCCACACACAGTGAAGTGTGTGTGTGTCGCATCTACTGTTGTGCCTCATCTCGTCTCCTCCGGCAGTTTCATTTATTAATGTGAGAACCTATCACTAATATGGTGAGGGGGCTGCTGAGTGAACAAGTGTGTAATGATGAAGGTGTGGAAGGATGAGAGCGAGTGGGCCATTCAGCTCCCCTGGGTTAGTGGCTCGTACTGCACACTGCAGGTGATTACCATGTTGCAGCATTTGCATTTGGGTGTTTTTTTGTCATTTTTAATTACATATATTAAATTGCTATTTGATTTGTAAAGTTCTCTATTTTTCTGCTTCACAATGACTAATGTGCATCTTTGTGTTTTTTTTTTTTTTTTGCAGCTCAGAACTGCAGTTACACACTACACAGTCCCAATGGGACGATAGAAAGCCCCGGCTACCCCTATGGTTACCCTAACTATGCCAACTGCACATGGGTGATTGTGGCAGCAGAGCACAACAGGATACAGCTAGTGTTTCAAGGCTTCGCCCTGGAGGAGGACTTTGACCTCCTGTCTGTATACGATGGGCCGTTCAGTCCAGGGAACCTGCAGACAAGGTACGTTTAGTCATTTAAATACTAATGTCAATCTTCTTCTTCTTTTTCTTTTTCTTCTTCTTCTTCTTCTTTTTTTTCTTCTTCTTCTTCTTCTTCGTGTTCTTCTTCTTCTTCTTCTTCGTGTTCTTCTTCTTCTTCTTCTTCGTGTTCTTCTTCTTCTTCTTCTTCGTGTTCTTCTTCTTCTTCTTCTTCTTCGTGTTCTTCTTCTTCTTCTTCTTCTTTTTTTTCTTCTTCTTCTTCTTCTGCTTCTTCTTCTTCTTCTTTGAGATGTGTTTTTTTTGAGGAAAAAAGAATGTGCCTACAACTGATGCAGCTATAAATCGTAACTGTTAGCAAATGAGATACAGTATTTTTCCGTGTCAAGAATGCAAAGAATGTAATTTTAGTTTTTCCAGAAAATTCTTAGTAGATTTTAATCATTTCTGTGCATTTTTAAGATAACTTTTAGAACACACTGAGAGTTTCAGTCTTGACAGTGAGTTTGAGACACATGTCCTCGACCTTTTGGACGTTTCCTTGTATTTATGCAGTAGAATACATTATTAATGCCCTCCTGGGTGTAGAGGCTCAGAGAGTCAGTCTTCATCCTTGTAATGCTGGTTTTTGAAAGTGTAAAAAATGACAGGTTTGAGTTTTACGAATGTGTTTTGACACTTGACTTGGTTGCAGTAGTTTGTAGTAGAACAATATACTGTATTGGAAAAAGCAAAGGTTCAAGGTCGTTACTACAGAGACCAGTGAAAAAAGCTTTCATTGTCAATGTGCCTTTGTGTGGTTTTTTTTTTTCCTATTGTGGCGCTGAATTACTCGCCACAAAGCACGAGCTTAACATCGATCAGACCCCCTGGCACTTCCATACACCATTCTTAACCAAACTGTATCCATTTCTGCATCTGATCATTCTAAGCTCCACCAAAGCTGCCTTTGAATCCTGTCACCTTCTGCTCTGAGCTCACATCCTCACAAACGCTTTAAAGCATATGCAGCTGAAGCCCCGTGGAGACAGATGACAGTAACATGCTTAAGGGCTTTTGTTACCGCCGCTCTTTTTCTAAAGTCTGCCAGCCTCTGTGTTTCCTCCCTGTCAGTAACCCACTGCCTCACCTCTTTTTTGCTCACACATCTCAAACTCTTTGCCGGTGGTGCTTTCATTGCATCTGGTGCGTAAAAAAGAAAAAAAAAAAAAAAAGAGAATGAAAAAGAGAAAGAAATCCATTATGGATCACTGCTGTGCCGTTCTCCTCAGTCTGTCTCCTGTTCGGACCTCTGGGCTCTGTTGTATATTGATGCTCCAGTGGGACACAGAAAAGAAAAAAAAACACAATGCACTTTTATTCAGTGCTTTGAAAATAAGAGGGAAAAATGCACGTGGAGAAAAAAAGAAAAGAAGGAAAAGTGATGTTGAAAAATGAGAGTGACGGAGAAGCAGGGAAGTCTTGAGGATTTGTCGAGAACACGGATCTTACTTAGATTCTACTTGTGATATCTTTGACTGCACTCTCTCTCACTTCAAATGGTGGGTTTGTTAAAGATGTATCTCTGAGTGAACCCTAAAGAGCTGAAAAGAGGCGAACAGTAGAGGATGCTGTCGCTGCCAACTGTCCAATTTGTATAAGGAAATGTCCAAACCCTTTGCTCTCATCTCTTCTTGTGTCCAATGTAATTCTCCTTCCATTCCTCTTGCTTCAATCGTTCTCTCACTCCTCTCATTTCCTCCTCACCTTTATTGAATATCTTATCTCATTTCCTTCTTTTCCAATTGTGTGTCTCCGGACCTACATTTACATGAATTCTTCACCATTTCAAGCACACGCTGCTCTGTGCTGTATAGGACTCTGGGTATGTGTCGCTATTTTACACCAGATTTTAACTGGTGACATTTTGAACCAAGTCAAGTCAAGTTTTTTTTTTTCTCTTCTGATTATTCTATAATGTCACAGAAAGGAAGATGGAATGGTTCCGAGTGTGAAACTGCTTACGTCCAAATTGTGTTTTGTGCTTGTGTTGGCAACTATACAGTAAACACACCGTGGGTTGCAGGTGTTTGTGTGTGCTCCTGCAGCAGTTTTAGAACTGGACTTTATGAGTCATATTTGCTCATAAGAAATGTATGTATGAGTCACTCTGTGGCTGCAGCACTTCTTCGAACTTCTCATAGCATCGAGCACAGAGGCTGAGACAAAGCTAAAAAAAAAAAAAGTTGTTTAGAATGAATAGTTTTATTCTGTACATATGGATTGCACTGTTGACTGTGTTTATCTGCTTCTTAATAACTATAGAACCTTTCCACAGTCACCCATTGGCTGTTTACACATCTACACAACTATCATATAAACCAAACTGTTTATATGTAGCCCCAATAGGTTGTAAGATTTGACGGGGGTGGGGCCAGGAGTATCGACGTAAACCAAGATTAATGACATGTAGAAACCATACATAGAGAAATGCTTGACATCTGCCAATACGGAACTTGGGGATATACAGATTATAAACATTTCAATGACTCCACCATGTCAACCAGCAAAACATAGTATATAGTTCACAAGTGTATTTGAGTGTATTTCATGACTCAACGTTACCGATTAAGACGTCATCCTTGATATGTTTGACCTTACTTATATTTGCGCGGCTGTCATCGTAGAACACTAGTCAGATGTTTTCAGCAGCTGCTCCTCACATCTTGACTCCTTGGTTTACACCCTGATCCAGATCACAGTTGCCAGATGGGAAATTAAGATCTGCTGTAGTACAACTTAAAAATGATCAGCAAGCAAAAAAAAAACCAAAAAAACCCACAAACCTTCCAGCTAGGACAGTGCATTTTAAAAGCACAAGCAATTCTATGTGCAAGATGCTGCAATAACCTGAAGGACTGAACACAAAGATTTGAATAAAACAATGGCTTTGTCTCCTTTAACACACCAACACGTCAAGTATTTGAGTAAATACTATTTGTTGTTGAAAATATTGCACTAAATATTTTATTTTGACGGGTCTTTTCGGAAACTTAATAACGTCTCCAAGAGACAGGACCTTCAGGATCGTAGTGTGTCTCCTCCTCCTCCTCCTCTTCCTCTTACTAAACCCTCATCCTCAAGAGAACAACGTCAACGCTTTACATCCTGCAAATACTGTTGACGAGAACATAATCTTGGCCTTTTTAATTTCCCCGGCCCTGTTGACAGGAAATGGTTTTACAACAATATAGTTTATGGAGGTGAGGCTTTACAACATCTGGGCCTCCACTCTGTGATGAAGAGGTACTTATTATACATCGGCTGGATAGACAGTTTACAGAGCGCTCCAGCTGCATTTCCACATGGCCCGAAATATTTCTCCTTTTCTTTTTTATTATCACACGGAGACACAGAGCATGAAGTTTCCCGCCCCTATACTCCGTATCTGTCTAAACCTTCGGTCAAATCTGCTCTATATCTCAGGGATCTGTAGTCATATCCCAGCCGTGTAAACATCTCCTAAACGTATGTTCCGACACCAGTGACCCCTGTGACTGGGGTTCAACTGAGTCTGCAGTTTTGTGAGACCAGAAAGACAGAACTTCGGGTTTAAAAAGAATCCTTGACCTCAAGCGAAACGCTGAACCTTTACCAGCTCACTCACTGTCACCACGACTGAACATTCCTTGCTTGTAAAAAGTAGTTTTTTTCACTATTCTGTCACATTTCACCTTGTAACTGCCAACCGGGGAACACTGAGTACATTTCAGAACAGGGGAAAGCCACTGGTGTGTGCGAAGGCATCGCTCTCTTCACATGCCTTCTACTCTGTGATGGAGTGATTGGGGGGGAACTTAAGGCCTGGCACTGTGGCGGGGGCAGAAAAGTGTGAAAGAGGAGGAGTCATTGAGGAGACAGATTTTTAGCCTGCAGGCTCGGTAGGACCTAAATAAGGAGCACCAGTGCATGGTGCTGGGAGTGACACGACAGCTACAGTCAGCCCTCAGGACTGTGAGGTGTGGGTGTGTTTCTGTGTGTCGTTGTGTGTGCATGGGTCTGGGGCCGAGCGATAGACAGAGACAGAGTCTCATCAGTGCTTACAAATGGAGATTGTGTGTGTGTGTGTGTACATCCCTGCATGCTGATTCAGTATCAACAAAATGAAACTTTTATTGAACTTCACTTAGTAGCTCACCACACAGTCTTACTGTTCAAACACACACACACAATTCTGAGCAGAGGAAGGACGGCACGTAACGCGCAGCCCTGAAACTCTTCTGGATTACAAAAGCATTAGAGAGGCCATTATGTTCCCAGTTTTAAAAAGTGCACACATTTTTGCTGAGTTAATGTAAGTGCATTTAAATATAATCCATCCCTGCCTTTACTTTACAACACTGAAGCGAACTGCATTATTAATAATCACGGGTCTTCACCTACGGAACAACTGAACATTTATATTTACCAAGGCTGTCTGATTAATCACAGGATGGATGTAGAATAATCATGATTATTTTAATAAATCAATGTTTCCCAATATGACAAAGAAAAACTTGCTGGGCGTCTGACCTGAGACTAAAGCCTCCACAAAGTATTTCAAGCTCCAGCTTCTTTTCCAACAGTGTGTTCAAATACCATGATGTGTATTTACCATATACCAGAGCAACAACCCAGGGATTAATAGATATACAGTAGCTGTCATTTTTACCCATGTGTAAAAATTGATTACAATCTTTAGTGTAAATAATCTTCACATGTACAAACATGATTAATGTGTTTATTGTATGTTTGACATTTATGCAGTCAACATAAGCAGCTGCAAAGACAAATAATTGTGAAATTATAATCACCATGTAATACTTCCATTAAATTATAGTACATTGATTTTATTTTCATTTAGATTCATATTGTTTTTCAGTAACTTACTAAAATAATAACTAGAAATAATTTTCCACCTGATGATTTCTGACACCAAATTGCTTTCATTTATATATGTATTTTTTACAAGCATTGTTTTGGATGAATTGAAAAGCAGAAGCGTTG